GACGTCCCTGGAACACGTGCACATCGACGCCCCGCTTCAAAGGTCATTTATTGTTTTATTTTGTTCAGAGAACGCACAGGCATATGGGAGGTTGCGATTCTTTTCATACTTGAACGCTCTATTTTTTCTTTTACCATTACTGGTGAAGATACTGGAATTAAATTGTATCCAAAATAACTGAAGTGTTGACACCGTCAAAGAATTAAGATTTGTTGCTAGTTTTGCAACAAAAAATTCTCTATGGGATAGCCTACGATGTCACGTGACGCGGTGATTAATAATAAAGAATTGCATGTTTTAAATACGTAACTATTTACTATATTCAAGTTTAAATATTTTCAATGCTATACCAGTGCTTCTTTAGTAGACCGAAATGGAACTCCCACATGGTTCTATTTCTACGTAAAGGTGAGTCAACCCAGTTTACTCTTGGCTACGACGCTACCGGAAAACGAACGGTGGACCGTCCCAAATGTAGTAGTCAGAAACTCTCTTCTTACTTGAAGATCTTACACATTGCAGAAAAGCTAAGTGTATCGTCACAAGTGGTAGAAAAAGTAATAGAACATTATTATAGCACGAGTGTGAAATACCAAACTTTATCAATTTTTAAAAAAATCGTTCAAGCGTCTCTCCAGTTCGGGACCCAATAACGAGAATACAATACAAAGCCTTTGATAATTTCTGTTCGTTTTTCAACCTTTTCTTTTCATTTGTTAGTAAACACACTATTTCTTGATGCTTTACAAAATTATGTTGTGCTTAGAATGTCTTCATTATGACTTTACCACCCCGGTTACCACCCCTTAAATATTTACTTGAAAATCGACGAACATCAACAGACCACACTTTCAATTAAAATCGCAGTGAACAGGTATCAAAGGAAATCTACCTTTCTACTTAAGACAAACTATGTACACAGGATTTCCGAATAAGTGAGGCAATAACGTTACCTATAAATACTATTGCACACCTTCCTGAAATCAACACGACGCGGCACTAATTTGTAACCGCAAGAATATTTTTAAACACTGATATACCTTGTTTTGGGCCATTCCATTATAGCTAGAGGATTCCGTTTCCACTTTGTGATACTCGCGTAACATCAACGATGTGGGCTAGCCACTGTAGCTGAAATTAGTTTCAACAGCAGCGTACGGGTGGGCGGGCTCTTATCTTTTGGGCGGCATTTCATTATGTACAAATAAACAGCGATGCTGATAGCGAAACTAAATTTAAGTTACATTCATCTCCCATTTCCATGACTCCTTCACTATTGTCTTAGTGAATTTTCTTCTTACTGCAGTTTTGTCTAAATCGATCGAAATCAATACACGAGTGATTCAAAAAGAATAAAAAATACCAAAAATATTTTCGTGGTAATTTCTAACGCATGAGTAGCGTTTATTAAATGCATTTGAAGAGAGAAGACAACAAAAGCGCATATAATAAAGCGCATGTAAGGAAGTTGGTTTCCTGGATTTGTTTTCAGCAGATGAGAGCTTTATAATGTCATATGATAACAGTAATTTTTACACAAAATATGTACTTTGATAGAAATATAATAGTTAAAAGTAATTAAAAATGTCAGATAGAGATCTGACAATTAAAAATTAATTTACATTTCTCTTGTATTACATACATATTAAATTTATAAACCATTTCTCTTCACCATTTGAAAAATCCTTATGGAATTTCTTTACACGCCAACCAACTTCTCCAAACCAACTACATTATACAGACTTTATTATATGCGCTTTTGTTGTTTTCACTCTTCAAATAATTTAATAATCGCTACTCATGCGTTGGAAATCACCACGAAATTATTTTTGGTACTTTTTATTATTTTTGAATCTCTCGTGTATTGCACGATACAATTATTTAAAAATTCCGCAAAAATTGAGAAAATATTACTCTTTTGTGAAGGATGACAGCCCCCGTTCTCGGGATATGCTAGGGTGTACTACTGAAGTGAAGTGTATTCTGCTGGTAAAAATTGAGATCGGTGAGGGGTGCCGTTGACAATTGCTAAGCAAGGCCCGGCAGGGAACATGTGCGTGGGTACGGGGCTTGAGACGTGTCCAGGGGCGGAGAGGCGACGATCACTGGGCGCGGAGCGAGTCAGGGAGGGGGGGGGGGGCGAGGGAGCAAGAAAGGGGGCTGCAGCGCGCGGACGGTGCCTGGTTGCGACGCATGGAAGAAGGCGCAGGCTGTGCTAGGAAGAGGGGGATGGGAGCATGGGCGGTGACGGAGCAACAGCGGGGCAGATATGCAAAGAGGTAGACGAGACCTGGGTGTGGCGAGAGTACGGGCTAAGTGGCAAGGGCGCGGGCGAGGCGGCGGGAGGGCAGGGCGGGGGCGAGCGCGGAGGCTTCATGGAGCGGTTGTCAGTGGCATAGGCGCGGTGCGTGGGTGCGAGGAGGGCGTGGGCCGTGGGCCCCCCGGCGCGCGTGCAACGGTGCACTCTCCGGCGCATGTTAACGAAGTCAATTACGATGCTTTTGGTTGGCTGCGCATTTCCTGCCGGGCGCCAGCTCCGGGCTGCCGGACGCGAAGCGGCGATGCGCGGGGGCGGGGCGGTCTTCAGATTGCCTCCGCGGAGCTGGTGCCGGACCTCGCGCCATCTCCTGTTACAAAAAAAAACTTGGGAATGGTTGGGAGGAGGAGGGGAGGGGAGAGGGGGGAGAGGAGCGAGGCGAGGGCGAGGGCGAGGCGAGGCCGAGGCGAGGCGTAGATACCGCTCTGAGCTTTACAGTGCATTGCATAGGGAAGGCGAAGTTGCACTAAGAAAATAGTAAGTTACGTTACAAGGGTAGAAAGAAATGCTTTTTTCATCGAGCTTTGAACGACGCAACCCGAGGGCCTCTATCAGAACGAAAGCAAAAAGCTTCCTTTCTCCCGTGTAACATGGACTAATTTTCGATGTACTTGCATATATTCCCTTTCATTTATATAATGTATATACATTTAATAATAAATTCGTTATCAGGTGCCATTAGTATGCATCTACAACGCAACAAAAGAGTGTATAATTGAATGTTGCCAAAACAGTTATGGAATACCGTGAAGTAATTTCGGAAATTCTTCCATAAACAACAGGAAAGGCAGGAGAAGCGTATGAAGAATGAGTTCCTAGTATTTCTAGAAGTTTGTAATAAATCTGTAGTTTGTAGGACTCTTGGAACTATTTGACGTATTTCAATCAAGAAGGGACAGACTTTGTCTCCCTAATTCAATAATGATGGTCTTTCCACCCTGAAATATATATAT